TTGGCCTTTCATTTGCATGTCTTTTATTTGTGATTTTCTTCCATAACTATCTTTGCTATAATGCCCTTTGTCTGTGTGAATTGATGCAACGTGGATTTGTGGTCATATTGTCTCTTGCCATACAAACATGGATATTTGGTTTTTGGCCATTTTGATAAGACTTAGAAGTATGAGTTAAGTATTACATTACTTTTATAACAACAACAACAATAATAATAATAATAATAATAATAATATATCATAAAATCCTTTTATTTATTCATTGAAGTGTAACGTCTATTTCACGCAAAACTTTTTACACAAACTGAGTGTGACCAAGACTGAATCACTGAATACATGAAATGTTGTCTGAGTGGTCGAGATACGGAACCAGAGAGGGAAGTTATGACTGATTCTCACGTAGTGCCCAAGGTTGACAAGCTTCAGTATCTAGGCTTGGTTATTTAGGTAGATGGGGAGTTGGAGCTATTAGAATAAGTGCCCTTCACTATAGGGGGGGTGAATAGTGAGGCACAAGAATGTTTATAAATTTTCGCAGAATAAAAATCGCTGGGATAAAGTAAAGAGCGGAATAAAAAAGCGTAAGGAAAGAACACACCAATTTTACCCTGGTTCACCACAACATGTGGCTAGTCCAGCCTCCCGAGAGACTCTCTCGAGCTACACTACTTCCGTTAAGCTTGCGGGTGCTTAACAAACCGTTACAAACTGAGAACTCGAGTCCCACGAGCCTCAATACACTTACTTGGAGATACCGCACTCCAAGACTTCAACCCGAAGGATTATTCCCTTCCTTCGTACAACCAAGGGAACGAACCTCCCTTAAAGTGTTCACAACACTTAACCACTCACGAACAAAAACTCTCTTAAAGAGTAGAATATGAGTAAACTAATTTAGATCAAGAACACACTCAATTCCTCAAGAAATGGCTCTAAAAAGCTATGTAAAAAGTTTGTGAAATGATGCAATGTAAAGCTATGAAATGTGTGAGGAATCGTTGTGAAAAGTAGACCCAAAAGACCCTTATTTATACCCAAAAATGATGTGTAACTAATGGGAGTTGATTGGGGTTTAATAGCAAGATTTGTGGAAATCAAATCAAAGTTGGTGTACATAATTCTAGCCTAACATCGTTGTTCATATAGTGAACATCGTTGTTTTGGCTTTGACTTTCCTTTAAAAATGGCTAACGGTCATCAAAACATCGATGTCTAGAAGTCTACATCGATGTTGGGGTGGTTGACTTTCAAAAATGGAAATATTTTGTCATAAATAGCTAAATGGTCATTTCAAAACATCGATGTTCAAAAACCTACTGCCAAGAACTCTGAATGCCAACATCGTTGTTGAGAATTCCGACATCCCTGTTGGGCTGGTTCGCTAGAACCATGGTTTGGCAGCCAACGCCGAAAACCGATGTCAAAAACCAAAGTTCTCTAAAATGAAAACCAAGTGTTGGAAACTCTTATATAACGTATTTTATTTAGAAACCAAGTATAAAAACTTAAAAACCACGTCATTAAGGTAAAAACCACGGCTAGCCAAGTTTATGCCATTTCACATTGTTTTCACCAAAAGAACAAAAACAAAAGGTAGTTTTTGGATATGCCCAGAAATAAAAACCAATCATAAACTCTTAAAAACCACTTGATTGATTTGGACGACAAAAACCAACGCCGATAACCAGCGCTGAATGCTGCTAACCAATGCCGAAAGACAAATGTTGTCGTTTTTGAAAACTAATCATTTGGAAAACCTTTAAGGGCCTTATCTTTAGAGCTTGAACTCTTAACTTCCAGTTTCTTCCAGTTTTTTCCAGTTCCTTCCAGTTTTTTCCAGTTTCTTCTAATTTCTTCCAACTATATTTATTTTCTTCAAATTCTTTCTACTTTCTGACAAATCACTCTAAAAAATATATTATTATTATTATTACAACTTTTTTTAATTACAACATTTATGTTCATAACTATAGTTTATAAATTATTTCATTTTTTCATCTCACTATTTTTATGATTCACATTCATTCTTCCAGTTTATTCAACTTTTTAATATGAATAATACCATTTTTTTGTATATTAATTTACATGAAAAATTAGGAAACTATTTAAAAAATTATGGATAAATAGTTATATAGAATATTTTTTAATCTAAATTTATATAAGATAAACATCAATATTTTAATCTAAAATATAAAGTATGGAATGTGGTGGGGAGTACTACATTATGAAAACCAAGAGAAAACTACATTTTGAAAAAGAAAAAATGACCCAAGAAGTGTAATATTTATGATAATTTTATATTCTAATTATTTTTTTAAACTAGCTTTTTATATATGAAAAATAATACTCGTAATATTTTTTTTATCTTAGAGACAATCATTAAGATAATGTGATAACACCACCACTACCACCACCACCACCAACAACAACAATAATAATTATAACCACACATAAAAAATTTTAAAACTTTTTTTTTTAGACTTTTCATTTTTTTCTAGTTTTTTTCAGTTTCTTTTAATTTTTTTTCAGTTTTTCCAATTTATTCCAGTTTCTTCTAGTTTCTTCCAGTTCCTTCCAGTTTCTTCAACTTTCTTCTAGTTTCTTCCAGTTCCTTCCAACATGCAGTTCTTTTTTTCCAGTTCTAAAGAACAGGCCCTAAATGTGTTTAGAAGCAAAAACCAAAGATAAAAAAACCCAAAAACATTTGGCTAAAATCAATTCCAATAACAATGCCAAAAACTAAACGCCATAGCCGAACCCCGATAACCAATGGTTATGGTTTTGGTTGGGCAAGAACCAGGGATTTTAGAAACTTTCAAACAATTTATGAAAGCACTCATTTGATGTATGAAAAGAATATTTTGATTTGATCCATGACGTGGAGAAATTGAATGAGCGTGTTACAATCAAAACCCGAGTCTTTAGAAAACGTCTTCAAAATGCCAATGTCACCATCTTTAGAAACGTCAATGCCTTTCTTGTGCTTTTTGTTCCTTCAAAGAACTTTTTCTATCTCTTTGAATCTTTTCATTTTGTTTCATGTTCCCGACGTTTTGTCAATATCAAAACCTAAACGGAAACAAACATTGTCATTAGCAATACGTCAAAGTGAAAATGTTTTCCAACAGGGGGAAAACGTTGGGGCTGGGTTATTCAAGGTTGACAAGTTTGAGTATCTAGGCTCAGTTATCATGTGGGAGTGACTCAGGCTAAGAGGAGGATGGCTTCAGGGGTGCTGTGCGATAAAATATATCACCTAGGGCGCAAGGTAAGTTTTATTGGTTCGTAGTCAAACCATCTATGTTGTATGAGACAAAGTGCTTGGTGGTTACGAAAACCCACGTGCGTCCTCTACATGGTGCGAATATGCGGATGTCACGTTGGATGTGTGGGTAGATTTAGTTGGATGAGATTCTGAACGAGGTTGTGCGAGGTCGGGTAGACATGGAACTTATGGAAGATAAGCTACGGGAAGCTAGGTTGAGGTGGGTCGAGTATATGAGTAGCAGAATGTTGACGCCCAATGCAGAGATGCGAGAACCATACATTGGTGGGAGGAAGTAAAAAAGGTAGACCGAAGAAGAATTAGAAGAAGGTAATCAGATCGGACTTAAGACTTCTTGTTTTACTAAGGATATTACCTTAAATCGAAGTATTTGGAGAGCTATGAATAGAATAGTTGACTAAGGCCATGTTTGGTAAATGGCGGTTCACCTAGCATTTGGTATCTTTAACCATAAACGGCGAATTAGACTAGTCAAACCGCCAAATTAGTCGTTTGGATAATGACTTTTGGAATTGGCATTTAGAACCGAACAGCCAAAAATTGAAATGCCAACCCTAGCAGCATTTCATTTAGCAGTTCATCCTTTTTCCGTTTTCCTACCCTTTTCTCGGTGTTGCGTCTCTCTACGGTCCTCACGACACCGGAATTGGTGTAGAGTATTTTTATATATTTATGATATCATATTTAAAAAATTATAAAATAAAATATATCATGCATAGTTGTTATTTGTAGAATGATAAATGAGAAAAATACAAAAAAATCTACTTATAAAATATAAATGTAAATTCTCATTTCTTAAATTAAAAAAATGAAGAAGCATTTTTTGTCCAACAAAAAATATATGATATCATATTTTAAAAAATAAAATTGGTGTAGAGTATATTAAAAATATATGATATCATATTTAAAATTGGTGTAGAAGATTTATATATATTTATGATATCATATTTAAAAAATTATAAAATAAAATATATCATGCATGGTTGTTATTTATAGAATGATAAATGAGAAAAATACGAATAAATCTACTTATAAAATATAAATGTAAATTCTCATTTTTTTAAATTAAAAAAAACGAAGTAGCCTTTTTTGTCCAACAAAAAAATATATGATATCATATTTAAAAAATTAAAATTGGTGTAGAGTATATTAAAAATATATGATATCGTATTTAAAATTGGTGTAGAGTGTTTTTATATATTTATGATATCATATTTAAAAAATTATAAAATAAAATATATCATGCATGATTGTTATTTGTAGAATGATAAATAAGAAAAATAAAAAAAATCTACTTATAAAATATAAATGTAAATTCTCATTTCTTAAATTAAAAAAAACGAAGTAGCCTTTTTTATCCAACAAAAAAAATATAGGCAAAGCATTTTCTTGTATAATGTGTGTATTTTATCAAATTAAAAAAAATTTAAAATCAACAACAAATTAGCATAAATGAATAGATGTCTTTATATGTAATTTTACTCATAAACAGTTAAAGTTGCCAAACATCTAATTTTTAATAGCTAACAGAAACAGTCGGTCAAAACAGTTAAGTCAATCAGTCATTCAAACAAATAACAATAACATGAACAACCAATACCCAACCGCCCAATGTCATGTTCCAAACAAGCCTAATATCTATGCCAAGTACGGAATATTTGCTCGTACTCTATGATTCTTGATTCTAGAATACTTTAATCGGGTCTCCCCGCCTGACTGACCTACCTAATCGGCGGCTAATTTTTCCCCTTCTTCTCCAAATTCACACTCTGTCGCCATACTTTTCCTCAAGAACACGGACACTTTCCTGCGAGCTCTCTGTCACAGACACATTATCGTCGTCTTGTTTCTCACTCTATCGCGCCATATCGACTCATTTTGGGGATCGTTGTCTTTTTCGTCGGAACCATCTCTTTGATCGGTTACAGTTTCGAGGTATAGTTGCTTCGTCCTCCCTTCAACCGATATAACTCTCTGGAATTGAGCCTTCGTGGTTGGGAAGCCCTAGGTTTTGGAACTCTCTAGGGTTTTCCTATTGCTTTGCATTGGCATATTTGTTTGAATAACCACCGCAGTTGTTGGCTAGCGGTTCTGGGATTTTGTTCATCATCCTTCATCACTCTATGCGGCTGTTGTGGGCGTATGAGTGCTCTGGGCATCTGGGTTACTGAACACTGATGTCTCAGTTGACGGGAGATGGGGCTGTAGGTTGCGCTGTGCTGATTTGAATCCGTTTTGCACTTGAGAGATGCAGTAAGAGAGTGGTATCCCAAGTTATGTTAATTTTCCTCCTAGATTTGTCGAGTTGATAATACTTTTCCATTTTTGTGTAATCAAGAGAGTCTACATCCAGGTTGGATTCTGATGAACCAATTGATGCACAATAATCTTGGATGCAAGAGTAAACTATAGAAAACAGTGTGAATATATGCAAACTTTCAAATGTATTTGAAGAAACAAAAGAGAGCTTCAACTACATTTTAAGTGGGAGGTGTCTGTTGGGCCACAAAATATGGCAGGCTATTAACTTTGTTATTCATTTTACTGATCACGGCCTCAATCCTACACTTTCAGCAAACCATAGATTTTGCAAGAGAATAGATAATTTGCTAAAGAAGACTTGTAGTAGGAAATCAGCTTTCTGTGATTTTTGTAACACATTCAACTTGGCTTTGGTAGAGGCTGCATAGACTGGCTAGTTAGCGAGATGTTGCCTTTAGAAATAGTAGCAGTTGCAAATAGACCTGTTTTAGAATAATAGTCACACAAACTCAATCTCTTGTTGGGAAATCTGATGATGTCCTGTGCTGATGGAAAGAAGTGAACCTGCATTAGTTCCTGAATGGTTGAAAACTACTGGAACTGTTACTGGTGGTAGCAATTCCAGCCGTTACTTCGTTACATCTTCCCATTCAGGTAGTGATTTTTAAATGTTCCATTTCTGTGCTTTCATATTTATGTTTATCTTCAGTGCTTTCTATTGACCGTGGGAGGTTGCTTCGTTGTGCAGAGATATCTCAATCTACACGGAACCGATCTTCTAGGCCTGTAAATGTTAAGGGTAGCAGTCATAGCACACTACGCTCATTTTTTGAAAGAAGTTCATCATCAAATTCTAGGAACAGTTTTAAGAGCAATAGATCTAAGCATCCATACAGTAGTTTCACTAGAACCCATCATGATAAAACCCATGACAAAGAGAGACAAAAGTTTTTTGTTGGGGGTGACCTCTGGGACACTAACTCATCCGATCCATTTGGGAAGATACTAAATGGCGGGGCTGAGAAGAATGCTTTACGGCGGTCACAATCTCTGATTTCTAGAAAACCTGGAATGTTGCTACCTCAAAGAACTGAAGACTCAAAAAGTGGTGTGAACAATCACATTAGTGGAAATGGTATGCTTTCAGATGGTATTAACCTGGACAGTGTTCATAAGGTGTCATTTGAAAAGGATTTTCCTTCTCTTGCAACTGATGAGAAACCAGCACGCAGAATCCCATCTCTGGGGTTGAGTTCAGCTTTTCACAGTATGCCGATGGGCAACTCAGCTTTGATTGGTTCTGATAAATGGACCAAAGCATTCGCAGAAGTTCCATCTATAATTGGAAGCAATACCATGGGGAGTTCATCTACTCAACACTCTCTTTCTCATACATCTACCTCCAGTCCTTGTGTAAACACATGTCTTAACATGGCTGAGGCTTTATCACAAGTGCCAGCACAGGCTCGTATAGCTCCCCAGGTATGAAATTGCTTTAGCAAACACCTTAGTAGGTCTTACTTGTGCAGCCCATTCAAATGTGATCTCATGCACAATTTTTTCTTAAATGTTTGTAGGTCCCTGATAAAATACAGAGACTAGAGGAGTTAGAGCTGAAACAGTCTAGGCAGTTGATACCTGTGACACCCTCATTGCCAAAAGCCCTGGTAAGACATGCAGCAAACACACAAAAGAAGACATGAATATACATATCCTAAAAGGAGAAAGAACAGGACATAAATATGCATATCCAGTTGCATGAAGTCATTGCAAAATGTTTAAAAGTGCATGCATAGCTGATCTCTATATGTAGTAACATGTCCAAGCTTTCATGCTAATTGAACATTACTGTACAACTTTTAGCTATCTTGTAGAATGGAAAACAGATGAATGTTTGACTCTATATTTATGTATCAGGGGATCTGGTTGGCGATAATTTACTCTCTGATAGTGCATAGTATGTTTTAAATGTGTATTTTTGGAAGTTATCTTTTTCCATTTATATTCCAGGCTGATCATTAACAAGCATAGTTCCTTGTTGTAAATGTTTATTGAGCATTTCAATTTCATCAGGCTCGACTCATCCATAGCGCTAAACTGGACATCTTTTCATAATTGTTTGTAAAATAATTGGTGGTCATTGTTCTCATAGTATCCAGCTGACATATTCTTTTCAGGTATCAATCTCTTCAGATAAAATGAAGCAACCAAAGTTAGCGGTTAGAACAAGTGAGATGGGTGTTGCTGCTAAGAGTGTTCAACAACAGCCTTATACATCGCAACTTACTAACCAGACCCGTGTTGGGCGAGTGAGACCTGATACTCTATATACATCTCACATTGGGAAATTTCTGGTTCTAAGGCCTCTTGCTACCTCTGCTACTAAAGACACACTTGGAGTTGCTAGTGGAAGAGGTTTACATGAGCCACCTCCAGTTCCTCTGCTGTCTCCTTTGAATACTTCCAGTACACCCATGGTGACTGTACTTGAGAACAAAGCATCTGCTTTGGTCCCGAAACAAAGTCCTAGTGCAGAGAAGAAAGTATCTATATCGCAAGCCAAGAGCAGGAGTGATTTTTTCAATCTAATTAGAAAGAAAACTTCACTGAAAACTACTGAGCATCCAGATTCTTGTACAGCATATTCTTCTTCTAATTCAGAAGAAACCGATACCACTAAAGGAGATAGTAGTGTACCTTCAAGTCCTGTTGTTGATGATTGTCAGACTACCAGCAATGGAAATTCTCATGGAACTCAAGGTGAAGCTTGTAGTTCTGATGGAGAAGACTCATATTTTAATGGAAATATGTATTCTGATGAAGAAGAGGTTGCCTTCCTACGGTCACTGGGATGGGATGAAAATGTGGGGGATGATGAAGGCCTAACGGAGGAGGAGATAAATGCCTTTTATCGGGAGGTAATTTTTTTTTATTCTCTGATGTTTATGAAGTGTAGAATTTGAGTTTCTTCAACTGTGTCTAGAGTTGAAGTTACATTTGGTTTTTCTATGCAATGCAAGTTTCTTAGCCTGAAATTGGTTCTTTGAACTCTTGTACTTCTAAGTTGACAAGACTGATATTTGTTGTCCTTTATGGAATCACTTGAGGCTTTCTCCCATACTTCTTTCTTTGCTGGATCTAGTCTAAATAATTATTTCCTTGCCATCAACCATTCTTTTTCTTTCAAAGTTACCAAGTGTGTCCTTCTATAGATTCATTATTAGCACTCCTTTGCTCCCAAATTGAGAGTTTGATTTTTTTCTCTCCAAGGAACAATCATGTTTCATTAGATGAAGCTAATCATTCATTTATTTTGCCAAAATAGGGTACGAACAAGTGTTGTACTTTGAGTTATACCAATGATTAATTTCTAAAATATAAGTTGGATTATGACCATGCATGGCTCTTTTTTTGAGACCGGGAGCATTATTACCTATTAACAATACAAACTAACTTCACCATTCCAAGCACTCATTTGCGAAAAAGATTTTTTTTTCTCAAAAACATTTCTCCCAAAAAAGAGTTGAGCAGGATCAAAAGAAAGTCAATTTTTCATATAATTTGTCAAAGAAATGTAAACGAGTCACATTCAAGTTACATAAGATATATTTAGCTAAATTAACAAATATAGTTAAAAATATATACTTATGATTCATGATTTATGACAGTTGTGACATGAGTATTGTTTCCTAATAACAATACAAGCTGGCTTAATTTTTTTTTCTCAGTGCCAAAAAAATGTTTTGTTTTTTCAAACAATTTTCTTCCCCAAAAAAAGTCCAATTTGATAAATTAAGGCTGAGCTATTTTTGTCTAATAAATGTCAAAGATATATCATATATCACATATAAATTACATATGATAAATTTAGTTAAACCAACTAATAAACTTGTACATACACTCCATCCGTCCCACTTAATTCTTTGCAGTTACTATTCATGGCGATCAAATGATTTTCATTCTCTTTACATCATTTCAACAGTACTTTATATTGCTAATTTTCTCTTTTTCTTGTTTTCTTTTGTCCCCTTAAACTACAGTGTATGAAGTTAAAGCCAGCCTTGTTTAATTTCAGAAGATCTCAGTAAAAAAAGGCCATCTGGAGCTGCTGCAACATCTGAATCGGAAGCTTAATTTTCTGGTTGATAATTTTTTAGGGAGATTTTTTATTTGTTTCATCATACCTTTCTCTCGGTAAACAATATCATGAGCAGGCCATGGCCTTTTCTGTTTCTGTTGATCATAGGTGAATAAGTCGTTTAGTGATGCTGCTGTCCAGACTCCAGAGGAGCATTATAAATTATAGTCAGTATTTGATAATAATACGACAATGTGGTTAGGAGATCTGTTAGTTTGCGGGTGGATATTGTTGCTGGTTTCTAGAAAATCATCTTTTTCCTACTGTTTTGGTGTTTTTACTCTCCATGATCAACTCGAGGCGGGAAAAAGATGCATTGCCCATTTTATAAGGAAAAAAAATATATGCAAAGATCACTAGTTTTCTACAGAGCATGCAAATATGTTTTATATTTAGCCATTGTAGCAAACAAGTTGACAGAGAAGCTATAGTGGTTATTATATCGTTGTCATGTTCTCTATTAACCAGACTTCTGATGTTTGTTCAGGTTACAGTTTCGGAATTTGAATTAGCCAAGCATCCTAAATCATATTGATGAGTATAAATGGACACTTGTATATTATTGTGCTTATGCCATATGTTCTTGAAGATGGTTGTAGGTGAAGCTCCTTCGAAATATTGCCAGGACTGCAGTTCATGATAAGGTACTTTTGTTTAGAACTACAATTTTTTTAAGTTGCCAAAGTGCATCTTCTCTTTTCCGTTCACTTTGTAATTGCCTTCTTCATGTGAATGTCTTTTTTGTTCTATCAGTTCTTTTGTTTATATCTGCTTTATGGTCATCTAGTAGATCAAATTAGAGTTTCCATACAGTTCTCTCTGATTGGTTTTTGCTCTAGAAAATGGCTCTGAGCCCTTGGTATTGCATGAGAGACCATGTATAGTTCGAATATTTGAATACCCGGTAGTTTGAGAACTGTAGTACGCATTGGAGTGTGGCAACTAACAGTTGATTAAGTAGGCTCCATGCGTGAAAATGGTGGGACGGGGCTATGTTTTGTCTTGTGTAATTTCTTGCCAAAAAGACAATAACTTATTATTATTTGGTGACTATCTCATCGAGTTGACCATTGAGTGAAATCTCGAGATGTCATTTTATTATTGACATTGTTAAAGGGAGAGTAATACAGGGACTATGGAGGAAGTATTATGTTCCATCTACTCACCAGTACGTTGATTGTACTGGCCCATTTCCTTCCCTTGACAATCTCTTTCGATGCGTGAACCTTGCAGCACGAGTGGAAAGTGTTGTAGATTGTTTGTTGAGGCTTAACTGGTGAACCTTCCTAATCTACATGTTGACTATGTGAAAGTACTCAATTATTTATAAATTTTCGTTGGGCGTGTGTACCATCGGAGCTGCGTGTGGCTAATGTTATGCTCAAATTCTTGTAAAGTATTCCCTTTGTTTCTTTATATTTGTCCAACTTGATAATTTTGACTGAGTCACATAGGATAAATATTAATCACCAATTATTCTACATTTGTATTGCTATTAATACAATGAAGTATGTAGTAAAGTTTTATAAGTTTAATGAAATCATTTTTATACTAATGTAATGTTTATTTGATTTAGTATCGAAGTTTGTCTAATTTGATTTGAAAAAATTAAACTAGATGAATAAACTGAGACTAGTATTTGATAGTTTTTCTTGGCTAGTGGCCGTCATGGATTCTTATTTTCTTTGTATTACCTTATGTAAGCCTTGTGTGGTCATGAGGAACTACCTAGATGGTGGTGGCACGACGGTTATCGAAGCTCCTTAATGGTAGGTGGCTAATATTGTCTAAACGGTAGTCCTCTAGTTACTCGTCTCATTTGCTCTCTTTTTGCAAGTTTCTTGTGAGCACAATTTTGGCATCCCATTGATTGAGCAAAAGTGATCTTGGAAAAAATACAGAAAGAATTGGAGTTGTATTTCTTGTCTCAATTTAAATTGTTTGTTTTAGTTTACGATATTTGACTGAAATTATTTTTAATGCAATTTATTAGAGAATTAGCGTGAAATTAAAAAGTAAACTTTACATATTAAAAAACTACATCAAAAGCTTTGGAACGAAAGGTGATATGATTATATTATTTCATCAAATGAGTAACTAAAATAAGGAAAGGAAGTGATCGGAGTTTGACCTTATAAATACAACTTATTTGGGATGGAGGGGATAGAATATACTTTTTAGCTATTGACCCGTGGCCTTGACTCGTAGTCTTCTCTCCCCTTAAGAGATTTTATGACTTGTTTGGTGAGTGCATAAGATATTGGCTTTGTATCTTTTAATATGAAAATCTTCTTTTTGGTATTTTGTGAAGCATAAAAAGATTTGGAATTGTATATTTCCCTATATGTAACCAACCCTGTATCTTGAGGATTTTGATATCTCCTAAATTTAAGAGATATTAATATGAAAGTTTGTATATTTCCCTATTTGGAATTGTATATTTCCCTATTCATTAGTTTTCTCACTTAATGTGCTAAAATTACATCTTAAACTGTCTAAGTGGTGCCTTGTACTAAATTTAAATAAAGCTCATAAAAAGTGCTAAAACTAATGAAATACTAGCATTCCGACCCGTGCCATGCACGGGGTCGAAAGAAATTTATGTCGATTCTGAATTATTTCAATGAAATTTATTTTTCGAAATAAAGAAAATATATTGGTCACATGATTTTTAATACTACAAATGAAAAAAAGCCCAAGTAAAATAAATAATATTTGAGGAACAGAATGTAGAGTTAACAATGTTTATTCTAATACCAAATTTTCTAAAATACTTTAGGGTATACAACATTTTTGGTATGGTTGCAAGGGTTTCTATTGTCATCTAGAACTAATATCTTTAATCTTGTCTTTGTCTTCACTCATGAAAGAGCAAAATATAGTTGACCATGTGTGAACACGGACTTGGTTAAAAATAATCTCACAAATGACAATGTTTGATCTTGACTTTTGTTGATAGTCATAACAAAACGTAAGGCGGTTGGAATTGTCTTCTTTGGAACTTTAAGGTAGATCTGGATTAGATGGTACCAAATTCATTTTAGAAATGTAAACTTTTTCCCTGACTCGATATCCCAAAACGACAATTGCACCGATAATATTATATTGCAGCTCTTGAACAATTAATCTTGTCCTATTACACAATCTAGATGTTTGGTCAATGTTCCTCAATAGCCTAATCGGTACCCCCTTTTTTCAAGACTATTTTGTGGTTTGGGATTCCCAAACATTTGATTTCGTTCAAAAACTCAATTGTTTTCCAATCTCCATCAACACCTGCATCTGTTTGGTACGAAGAATCAAAACTCAAATACTCCTTTTCATCACCAGGAATGAGGGACAAAAAAAATTCATTTATCATTTCAACTATTTCGAGAGTTGGTGCCAATAGTGCTCTATCATCAAAAAAGAACAATTTTCCATATTCGCTAATATATTTGGATAAGTGAAATCCATTATACTCTTCATAGGAGAACTTGTATCTAGAATTAAGAAATCAGGCCAAATCTCAACATCACCAGCTTTATCCATCACCTGACCTAGCTTTCCATCACCCATTTTGATTATCCAATGAGAAAAAGCTTGTGTGTCCCTATATGTGCAAGAAGACGTGGATGAATGCAGTCTCTTATTCCTGGTCAACGTATAAACTTTACAGTACGACCACAAATGCAACGAATTGACTGTAGCACCTACAATTTCCTCTCTCGAAGCTCTGGGTAAAACTGGAAGGATATTCCGAAAGTCACCTCCGAGTATAACTGCTTTCCCTCCAAATGGTTCATTTTTGTTGTTACCATTAGAGAACCCCATGATATCTCTCATTGTGCGATCGAAAGCCTCAAAAGCAAATCTATTCATCATGCATGCTTCATCCAATATGATCAGACTTACTTGCTGGATCAATTCAGCTTTCGGGCTACCTTGAAAAATATTATATATATTTTTAAAATAGTATTTATATGTAGCATGGTCCTAAAATTATCGGCAGATCTTCAGCGAGCGAACATCGAAGGAAATAATTTTTTTGAAGCCAGCGATTCCTTTTTTGAAGACGAGCAAGTATCGTAGAAACTTCTGCGTTCAAGTGGAATAACTGATTAAAGGATAGGGAACTCTGCTGGTGCAGTCCTTAGCAATTTTTCTTTTAATTTTACTATTATTATGAGGCTCGCTGACGTGTTCAATTTTTGCCAAATAAGCATGCCAAATGTCGCATTCCCATGAATCTGAGTCTCCTTTATTATATTAAAGGATTTTAGGCTGGAAGGAGTATATCATACAAAATTGAATAAATTTCTAAAAAGATCCTAAAAACTATGTATTTTTTCAAATTAGTCCCAAAGATGAATTAATTACCGAGATGGTATTTGCTAATTGATAATAATGTTCAATTTAGTCTCCGTGATTAATGGTTGTCAAAACGACATTAAAATTTATGCTAATTTTTCAAATTGATTATATATAATTGGATATTTTTTCAATTTAGTCTATTTTCGATGAAAAAACTCATTTAATATGAAAACTTAAATAGGATTGTCCCCTTTTAATTGATTTATAGTGTTTGAGCGAAGCCAGGAAACCACTTTTTATGAGATTTTATTTCGAAAATTGATTAATTTTGAATAACATTCGATTGAAAATGATCATTTTGAAAATTAAGTATAAATTTTAATATCATTTTGATGGCGATTGGTCTAAAGATTAAATTGAATCTTATTTTCAACTAACGAGTATTATCTTGATAATTAACTTATTTTAAAGAACTAGTATGAGAAAACAATACTCACAATTTACTCTACAAATTTTATAGACAAATTCCATAGTATTCACGGAGTAAAAAAGACCAGGTTGACACGACGCCAACAAGTTCTCCCTGTCATTTTGCTCTCTCCACATTCCAAATTTCTGTCGCCGATAATCCAAACATCCAAAATACAAATCCTTTGATCCCTATACTTGTTTTGTATCTTCCCTAACGTGATCGGCCACCGCCCAATCTCCCCAATCTCTATAGCTGTCTTGCCAGGATTCCACACTGTCTCTACGTGTATTCTTAGATCGCCGTCGCACTTTGCACCCATTACTCCGAACTTGTATCGACCCATATTTTCCCGAAGAACAATTGTCTGATCAGAATTAGCAACGGGGACATTGTTTGTCGGTTATTGGAGCGGTTTTAGGGCTTCTTGGATCGTTTTCTTCTTGGGTAACCGTTCTCTATCTTCAATCCGCTCTGTATTTGAGGTAGTTGCTTCGTCTTCTGCTCCTCATTGATTGTTGGGATTGCGTTGTTTCGGAAACCCTAGGTTCTGGGAGTCTCTAGGGTTTTCTAATTGCTCTCCACGGAGTTCAACAATTGTTGAGAGACAGAAAGGGGTTTCTGCTTTCCGTTAGAATTTCTCATTTGCTTGCAGAATGGGTTTTCTTTTTTGTTTTTGTTTTGTAATGTTGAAGTCAGACTGGAAATGAGATTGCTGAATCTGCTGTGTTTAGCCGGAAACCTTCTGCTTTCCCCACAAGAGATGAAGGGAGAGGCCTTCACATCTAAACGTGTCCTTGAGTTTGAGCCTTCACATTTCAATTTTCGGTATTTGCGAAATGCAACTTGCCTTGCAAACTTTTGTTAGGTTAGCCAGTTGACGCAATATTGTCCCTGGAATGACGGTAGGGAAATGTTTGTGGAGAATTGACGAAAGAACACGAACTTCTATTCTATTGTAGTGTACAAACGTGGTTATTGTCTTGATACAGTATATGAGTGGCATTTTTGACCGCTGAACCTGCAATAATACATCGAGAAGTGTCACCAAAATAGTCTCGTTTTCCCTATTTGATTGGGTTGGGGACTGGTCACTTGACCTGAGTGTGTCTGGAGAAATGCTGCTCCATTGGGAACTGAACTTGCTCTGAAAGGAACAGTGACAAGTCTGTATGTAGAAGAATCTGATGGTGTTCTGTGCTGATGGAAAGGAGCGAACCCACATTAGTTCCTGAATGGTTGAGAAGTTCTGGAAATATAATTGGGGCAGGAAGCTCTGGCAGCCATTTCCATTCAGGTACTGGTTGAATGATGTTTCCTTTTTTTCCTCATATTTTGGATGCATGCCTTGATTATATTTGTAGTAATTGTCAGTTTTCCGCCATTATTTTATTTGCTGCAGGCATAACCTCAAGAACAAGAAATAGATCTACTAGGAGCTTGAATGACAAAGATAGCACACACAATTTTTCCTTAGACCGAAGTTCATCATTAAATTCTAGACGCGGTTTGAATAGCAGTGCTTCTAAGAATCCATATAGTAGTTTCACTCGAAACCACCGTGATAAAAACCGTGACAAGGAGAAGGAAAGGTCATCTATTTTGGAACTATGGGACTCTAACTCATCCGATCCTTTTGGGAGTGTAGTAGCTAGTAGGGTTGATAAGAATAATTTGAGGCGCTCTCATTCACTTGCTTCCAGGAGATCTGGTGAACTTGTACCTCAAAGAGCAGAAGACAAGAAAAATAGCAGGAACAACATTTTGAATAGTTCCAATGGTGTGCTCTCAGGTTGCAACAATCTTAATGGAATTCAAAAGGCTACTTTTGAGAAGGACTTTCCCTCTCTTGGAACTGAAGAGAAGCAAGTGGTCAGAGTCCCTTCTCCAGGATTGAGCTCTGCTGTTCAGAGTTTACCAATTTCCAATTCACATTTGCTTGGTGGTGAGAAATGGACCTCAGCATTGGCTGAAGTTCCTGCTATAATTGGTATCAATGGTGTGAAAAATTTATCATCCCAGCAGTCTGGCTCTGTAACTCTTTCATCTGGAACTTCAGGTGCAAATAATAGTCTTAATATGGCGGAGGCTTTGTCTCAAGGTCCACCACAAGCTCATACCACATCCCAGGTAACCAAGTTACTTTTGTATCCTATTCAGAACTTTAATTACTTATCCATACAATCTTTTAAATCACATCATAATGTACTTTTGTATGTTAAATGTCTGCAGCTCCCTGATAAAATACATCGACTTGAGGAATTAGCCCTGAAGCAGTCCAGACAATTGATACCTGTGACTCCTACAATGCCTAAAGCACTGGTATGACAGCTCTCCCAGACATATATGCAGATATAAATGTACTTGTGTGTGTATATGTGGTTGTACAAGATGCAGTAATTGAAAACTTGATAAATGCTCTAGGATGCTGCTTTTAAAAATGGATCATTTGCACTTGTTATTATTGGAAGTTTTTATTAGTGTGTGTCTGCTCAATTTCTTTCTTTGGAGTTTATTTCTATAATTCTGTTGGTAGATTTTGAAAAAGAAGAGGGTAATAGAATTTTTGTATTCCTTGATTATAAGAAGTTAACACCTGAACTACTAGTACTATATACTACGTCGTAACTAGGAACATAACATCCCTGTTTTGAAACAACTTCTTTTATACAAATATACTCCATCTGTCCTGATGTTTTTGTGTGCTTTCCTCTTGGCACATGGTCCAAGGAGAAGGGAATAAGACTAAGAGGAAGAAGTGATCACTAAACCATTACTTTACAGTAGGTTGCCGTCATTTCTTTTCTTTTGCTCGAATTGCTGCCATTTCTTTTCTTTTTTGTTCTGTTTTGTTTTGAATTAGAGCCCGATGCTCCCTCCGCCTCATAGATTCTTCTGATAATATTCAAACCTTCCATTTCTTTTCTGTATTTTGTTTTGAATCTGAGCCTAAGATGCGCATATGGCTTCTGTGCAACCTTTCCAATTTATGTATGCAGAGTTAGTCCAACTTTCAATCCTTCTGATCTACTAGTATGACATCAGTCTGCTGTCGGCAGTCAACCACAATGCGGAGTTGCTGCTAAGCACGATAAGATGATGTGTGTAAGTGTTGATGTCGTTAATTCACCACTGTTGTTGATCTCTGACTTCGCAACCTGAAGTATTGTTGTGGTTGATCTGCCACCGTTCTTTGTCCTGTTTGAAGAAGAAAAAATAGTGCACTCCTCTTTTCTTGTCTTATGTCTTGTGTTTGAGTTGGGGGCAAATATGTTAATATTGCACATTTTATTATTCCCCGAATGGAAGTGGAAAAATACAATGAGTTGGTCCAAAAAGGAACATTGGACAACCACATTGTTACGTAGAGTGTGTTCAACACTGAACCCTTGGACTGCGACCTTTTCATCTTTGCTATGCACATGATGTCTTAGAAGATAATATCTTCAAAGGCAGTCTCACATTTGTCGCTGATTTGCATCCCACTTAGCAATGGCGAGAGGGTGAGACTTGAGAGAAGTGTTGCTCATGGCATACCTGGATCTGTCTCTTCCTACGAGTCTTGCAGTGGATTGCTCTTCATTGTGGCGTCTTGAGCTTTTCAAATATGATAGCTAAATGTTGGTCTTTTGCGTGTGTATGCAGTTTAATCTTCACCACCATTCTACTTTTTATAACCAGTCAAGGATAGGGTGTTGTACGAATATGGGCATTATATATTATATCCAGCCTAACCATTTACACACTGTCGTTGATCGATGGTTTACAGTCAAGCACTCAAGCCTACTCTATTGTTGCGCCCACACGGGCCCTTCTCTATCATATTTCAACATTACATACACACTCACCATATACTCTAGGCTTGATACAACTATGCTCTCTTGTTTGACATTAGAAAATTTGAGGAATATATCTGCCAATGCCATCTAGACCCAATAAATGAGGTAACAACCCTTAGGTGGGTGCATTGAGTTTAATAAATTCTTCATGTTTATCTTTGGAGATAGAATATCTGTTACAACCCTTCTTGATGGCAAAAGAAATGATCTGTCTTTGAAGAAAAAACCAAACTAGCATCTGCAGATGACAAGATATGTCAACATCTTTTTATTGAAACATAGAAGAAATCGTAGTGGGAGTAAAAATTATCATTATCAAGAAAAAGAAATCCCCTGAAATATTTTGAATATTCTAGTTTATGGTCAACGCTGAATATGGTGGTCAACAATCAACAGTGTCACAGATTATTTTTGTGGTTGACGAAGGATTCAGAGATTACTTGTGTAGAAATATTAAGGAAAAACTTGCAAATGAGTTTGCTCAAAAATGGCAGAATGAACACTCCTTGGGTATTGATTCACGCATTTAATGTTTTAAACTAATGCTGAAAAATTGAGAACCTGGCGGAAAAAGCTCAGGACCTGTGGCTCTGTTACATGTTGAAAACAAATAAGGGATGCAGAAGTTTTGCTGCCGAATGAAGTAATATGAAGTTAGAAATTAGAATACATCAGCGAACATGGCTATAGATATAGTGCATTGTCAGTTTTATATTGGAGAGGCTATAAAGCCTAGGGCCTTGCTCACTATTCTTATGCTGCATACAATGTCTATTACATATGGAGTATTTCTTACTCAAAATATCTTGGCTCTTATAAGTTATAACTACATTATTTCAGTTTTTTCACTTTTGTAATTTTCTTGTGGAAGATTGTTCATTGGTAGCAAAAACAACAAAACCCAGTAAAATCCCATAAAAGTAGGGTTTAGGAAGGGTGTGTGTGCCATAGTTGTGAATGGCGCTCGCCATTCTCGCCAAAGGCACCTATGGCTGTGTGGCGACCATGTGACGCCATCTTCAGACCTGGCGAGGCGCTTTACGCCATTCTCGCCAATGGTGGTCGCCATGGACGCCAGACTCTGAGTCGAAAGGCGTTCGCCATCTACGCCAGACGCAGGTCAAGGGTTTTTTAATTAAAAACCTTGACTTTTTTTTTAAAAATGCACTGACCTATATCTCGATCGAAACACTTCATCGATTCAACTGCCTCTGCCTCTGCCCTCTCGCCGTCGATCGAATTACTCCCCAGCCGACGCAGCCTCCTGCCCTCCTCAAGTTCTCCTCAGCCGGCGCAGCCCCTCCTCTCTCTCCCGATTCCGAACAGCGCACATCTTCGCAGACTCAGAGCCGGCCCAAGTAGAGTCCACTTCGCAGGTCACACTCAGACTTTTTTTTTGTTTTCTACTTTTCTTATTGTTTTTTTGAATGGTTATTGTTTCTTTATTGTCTTTATATTCTTAATTTCTTATAGATATAATTTATTGTCTTTATTTTCGCTATTTTCTACTTTTTTTGTTTTCTACTTTTCTTATTGTTTTTTTTGTTTTTTGTTTTAACTTTTACCAATAACTCATGTTTTACTTTGATAATTACGTTTGATACAAAATTAAGACTAAAACTTTAGACTTAAACCATATATATACACACACACACACCCACACACACACACACATATATATATATACATATATATATACATATATATATATATACATACATACACATATATATATACCTACATACATATATATACATACATACATACATACATACATACATACATACATACATACATACATACATACATATATATAATGTTCGCCATTTGACCGCCCGCCGCTCGCCACGCTTCTCGCCATAAAAAAGAACCTCTCGCCCGCCACTCGCCATTCACCATTCACAACTATGGTGTGTGCAGACCTTACCCCTATGTGAGAGTAGAGAGGCTATTTCCAAGAAGTTTGTTCATGAGTAGTGTCATATTTTATTTATTCTCACTTGCAGAGATGATCTCAATGTTTTTAAATTGTACTTGTAGTCATCACCATTTCATGTTAATGATGTGCAGAATGTTTGTTGAAATACATAACTATTAGTCGAGTTTCATTTCAGGTGTCAGTATCAGATAAGTCGAAGCAACCGAAACTAGCTGTTAGAACAAGTGAAATGGTTGGCACTGCTAAGAGTATTCAACAACAACCATATTCATCTCAAGCAAATAATCCCTGTTGTGGGCTGGTGAGATCAGATGCTCCAAATATGTTTCATACTGGGAAGTTTCTTGTTCTAAGGCCTGTCACTACTCCAAAGGATACAGCCAGTCTGACTAATGTTGCTGGTGGAAAAGTTGCAAATGAGCAGCCTTCAGTTTCCCCTTTGTGTCCTTTGACTAGCACTAGCTCAAGCACACCAAAGATGTCTGCAGTTGAGGTCAAAGCTGCTGCATTAACACTGAATTCAAGACCAATCACAGAGAAGAAATTATCCATATCTCAAGCTCAAAGCAGGAGTGATTTTTTCAATCTCATAAGAAAAAAGACATCACCAAAAGCCACTGCACTTCAAGATTCTGGAGCAGTGTTATCATCTTCAGATTTGGTCGGGGTTACATGTAAAGGAGTTAGCTGTGATCTTGTAAGTCAAGTTGTTGAGAATGGTCTGATTGCCAGCAATGGTGACTATCCTGGGAGTCCCTTTACATTTGACTCTTACAATGCTCAGCAGTGTTCGGATGTAGACAATTCGTGTCTTAAGGGAATGATTTATCCCGATGAAGAAGAGGCTGCTTTCTTACGTTCACTTGGATGGGATGAAAATTATGGGGAGGATGAAGGCTTAACAGAAGAGGAGATAAATGCTTTTTATCAGGAGGTAACTATTTCTGGCGCTTCACTTGTTTATGGAATGGTACTTTATCTGCGTGAGTATATTAAAATTAGTGGCATTGTTTACTTCAGCTGGATTTTAAGTGCGATGGACTTGCATATTTTTGTTTTCTGTAACTGAGTGCTATTTAAGTTGCTGTTGTGTTGATACTTGATAGTGATCGGAACATATGGTAACAAAATAATTCTAGAGTGGAAAAGATGCATATGTCATTGGAAATACAATATGGAGAATCAATGAAGGTTTCTTCTTCCCTCTTGAGCTCTTGCAGCATCAGCCATTAGCAAATAGCCATTATCATTCAGGACAACCATCAGTATTTTTGCCTGATGCTTCCTTTATTTATGCTCTGGCAGTTGTGACTTGATTTTTACCAAATATATCTCTTCCACTCTGTAATATAATATGGAGTATCATAGTCCAAAATTTGATACATAGTATATGGCTAATTTGTTCTTCATTCATTTGAATACCTTTAATCTTACTATATGTTACCTTGAGACCATTCACCATTCCAATGCAACAGAGCCACACAGCTGCAGAACAGGGGTTTTAATAATAAAAGTAAGATATTTATTCATAATTTTAATGGATTTATTTTTATAAATAATATTTATTACTACAATAATACTCTTTAACATTTTTATATTTAAAATTAGCATAATTACTTACTCCGTATTGTGTAAGGAGTACTTTTGTAGTCTGACCATGCGACACCCTCTCACAAACTTGTGTTATTGACTTATTGTCGTGGATGAATAATTCAATATGCACATCTCTTTTTTTATATATATAGATGTGTTTAATGTAGTGGATATTGTTGCTCAGCACATATAGTAAAAACAGTGAAGAGTTGCTTTGCATTGAAATAATTGAGTCAGAAAACTTTCCATGTATTGGAAATTGTGACTGTCAAACGGTAACATTTGGTGGAGTCTTGTTTTGTACTGTACATCACATCACATTTATGTGCCAGTTTTTGGAGTAAATAAGTCTAGGCTTTTCAAGTTTTGGTCTTTATGTATTGCCAGATTTTGTTTTTTTTCAAATGACAACTCTTTCTTCTTTAGACTTAAACCATAATTTACCCTATGCTTTTCTTTTTTTTTAAAATGATGCATCTTATTACTTCCTTCTTTGTGCAGTGCATGAAATTGAAGCCATCTTTGAAAATTTGTAAAGGAACCCATCTAGCGTTCACGCCAGCTGACTGTAAATCTGGAGCTCCTTCTGCAACAGAGTCTTGTGCTTCCGAGTTAGATTAGATGCAAAATATATTTCAGGCATAAGACGATTTGCTTGGCAGATTTTTGCTTCTCATCATCTCTTCCCTTTGGAGGTATGCTTACGTTGCTCCCGAGCAGCCGAGAATGGCTTTTGTTTTATGTAGTAGTCAGAAGACAATAAATTACTGATAGCTCTGCTGTGGAAATATTAAGGGTATTGAGTTAGCAGCTGAAATAGTGGCAGGTGGGCAAATTGCTTTTCATGGAAACACTTTGGTGTTTTTTTTGCAGATTTTAAAGGGAAAATTGAAAATTTCAAAGTCCAGTTTACACTTTTTTTCCCTTTCATTTCTCTACCAGTGACCTGTCAATCCCTATTACAGTAGTTACTGTTGGTGATCACACTCAAGTTTGAGGTGCAGTCATCATTCTCAAATTCATTAATACTGGAAAAAAAAAGAATCCAAAATATGGATTTAAATTTATGTTATAAATATTTTGTCAATGTGCTCACTATGTCCTGTTTATAAAAGCAGTATCAGTTCTTTTGTTGCCAAACTCTACACATTGTCAGTTAAGATGTCTTTTCTTCATATGCTGATTGTCTGCTTGGCCCTCTTTGACAGATGGACTTAGTCATATTCCTTCATTTGCCAGTCACATGTATTGTTCAGAAGGACGCGGTCCCGAATTAATTGGTACAATTCGATTTTACGGAGTTTAAGAAAAGTATTAAAAAGTAAAAACAGTGATTGAAATTTGCTTAAAAGAAAGAAAAATTGTCGAATACATATTGAAAAGTAAAGTGGAACGATTAAATCAGGATGGAGGGAGTTGAAGATAAGGAGTATGTGGTTTCCTTTAAGAGAAATGTAGTAATACACTTGTGATCTTTGAGTTTGTGAATGATATTTTTTCCATTTCATATTTAATTTTTAGAATCAAGTCAAATCTGATAATGGGATGATTAATTCGAGACGAAGGGTGTAGAAGATATTTGGTTTCCTTTAATATTCAATTTTGACAATCAAGTTGAATCCCATCTAGTTATTATATATGGGTATATTTCATACAACTATTTTCAATGAGCCTAGCCAATGGAGGGGTGAGAAGGATCCGGTTTAGGTGGGAAAGAGAGAAATTACGAATAAATTATGTGTCTTTGTCTGGTAAAAAGTACTCATTTCTATCCTAAATTAAGTTATTTATTTATTGTTTATAATGTTAAACTTTATTTATTTTCTTCTTCTATTTTTGTTACTTTGTATTTGATAAATTAATATAGTTATGTTATCTTTTGTTTCTTAGAACTTTTGATTTAATTTTTTAATATATAAAGTTTATTTATTAATTCCACTCTAAATTTCTAATTAATTGCCTTCAAAATAATTTTAATCAAATATCGTAAATCAAAGCATATGATTTAAATTGAGATGGATGAAATATATTTCTAGACATATCTAAAAATAAATTTTTGGTTAATAAGATTTAAATCAAAGCATATGATTTAAATTGAGATGGATGAAATATATTTCTAGGGCCTTGGTTCTATCAAAAGATGCATGTGTTAATAACATCGTTGGTTACAATAGCAAAGTAATGTGCCGCGTATTTATTCCTTTGTCCAAAAATCTCATTTACATTTAGTTTTTCAAGGGCAAGTTTTATACTCCCTCCGTCCCAAAAAGTCTTTCCTGTTTATTATTACGGCCTCTCGATAAGTCTAATTTGTTTGCGTGTTTTCATTGATCATTTCACAAAATAAAATATTCTTGTCACCTCTTATCTTGTAGAGTTTCCGATGTAGTTTTTAAATATAATTTTTTTATGTCTTATTTCCTTAACAATTTGCAAATAAAATCATTTTAAAATCCACGGGATTTTGCACATTAATCAAAGTAGGAAATTCTTTTTGGGATGGAAGGAGTAAATTTTAACCGTCATTTGTAAAAAAAAATTAATTCTAATATAAATTTAAAATGAGTTCATTTAAAAATATACTCCGGCATAGTTTTAATACATCAAAAGTTTACTATCCTTTATTTATGTACTATTACAAATTTATATTACTCTATTAATTATCAAAAAATCTTAAAAAATATTTTTTTTAGATTTATAGATTTTTAAAATCCGAATGTATAAAAGCAGTATCAGTTCTAAGGGGGTGTATTTAATTCAGATTTTGAATGATTGTGTTAGATTTTTTATCATTTATGGATTATATAAGACTTATGGATTAATTTAATCCTTCTTGACTTCAATAGATTTATATGTACTATATTAAAACTCTATTATGATATTTGTTATCATAATAGAGTATTATATTATGATATTTGTTAGGATTTGTCTAGATTTTTAAAACTCTATTCCAATATCAAAATTTGAAATGAAACCTAACTCAATTACGGCCGTTCAATTTCTACGGAACTGACATGCCACATATTTGCTCTTCGGATAATTCTTTCATCTTCATCTCTGTTCCTTATAAAACTCTTGGTTGAAGATATAATAAGAAAATGAGGAATAAAATTGCTGGTAATGCTCCGATCTGAAATAAAGCATTGAAGGAGAGCTGCAGCCGTCTGCCGTCGTGGGTCTCCAGGTTCCGTCACCACCGGTGAGGCGACCTCAACGCACCCAGACTTCGCCGGAAAAGACGCCGGAATCTAGCAGATAGAAGGTGGCGACTTCCAGTTAGCGGCGCACCTTTTTCCGGCCACCACATGCAGCGACGAAGTCTCAAAATGTTCCCAAATTGTTCCTGACAGTCATACGACTCCAACGCCACTGGCCAAAGCAAATTTGGTTACCGGAATCAGCAGATCAGTCCTGCAACCCGACTCGGCATTGCCCTTATCCAATTCTGCTCCGATCTATTTTTCCAAAAAAAATAGCCATAGAAATCTAGGGTTGTGAGAAGAGATTTCTAGGAGTGAAATGTAAGCATTTTTTTGAGTAAAATCCAACAAAATTCATAGAGTATTAAAACTCATAAATTTTTGAATACCTCAACATTTTTAAAGATTTTTGAAAATCCAAGTTGAATACTTCAATATTTTTAAAGACTTTTAAAAATTCATATTGAATACTTCAAGATTTTTAAAGACTTTTAAAAATCCAGATTGAATACATTCGGATTTTAAAAATCTAAATAAATCTATCAGACTCCTAATTCAATACACCCCCTAAGACTCTCCGTAGAACATCACGCACAACCAGCGTGATCCTATGTGTCAATTACCACCTTGCGTGAAGGCTTGCAAACACCTCCCTTCCTTTGTTGTGACAGTCATGCGTGAGTAGCTTAGTGAGCCCACTCACAGAATATGAAAGAAGCGATGGGTTTCAAGATCGCAAACCCCCCATCTAGGGTCAGAGTGTTCATTTATAGGTCTGGACCGGAAAAACTAACCGAACCGGACCGATCAGTCTAGACCGAACCCGAACCTAAAGGATTTTGGGTTGGTCTTCGGTCCGAAGTATTTTTAATTTTTGGTTTCGGTCCGGTCCGGTCATTACCCGATTACCAATCGGTCCAGACTGAGATAGACCGATAACCTCCCTTATTTTTAATCTTATATGTTCCGTTCAAAAATCACCACTCAAATGCCCAACAACCCAACCTTATCCGTAATTCGTAGAGACCTTAATCGCCATCGCTGATTCGCCTGTGTTGTTCGAGTATTCGAGAGCCTAAGAGGATTCGCTGATTTGCCTTCCTCTTTATCGCCATCGCTGATTCTCCGTCTCGCAGAGTCGTCAGTCACACTCTTGAGTCTTGCCCACTACCCAGCGCCGACTCCCTCGCCTGAAATACTCAATCGTAGAGAGCCTGAGATGCCGACTCCCTCAATCCCTATTGAATCATGTACGAGTACTCATCTCGTCTCCCTCGTTTCCTTCTCTGTAACCCTAGTCTCCTTCTCTATTAGGTTTCTTCTTGGTAAATTATTTCCATGTTATTTGTAGGGCTTAGCCAAATTGTATTATTCTTAGACTTTGTTTCCAAATAACATTTGAAACTTTGAAATTTGGCTAAGGTATTTAAGCAAAGCTGATTGGAAAATATTTAAAAAAATAGCAATTTTTAAAAAAAACTTGAGAGTTCTCTGAATTTTAAGCTGCAATTTAAAAAATGTACTTTTAAGAAGGGTACATGACAACACTTATTGGACCAAATACTGGAGAGTTCTCTGCAGTATTTTTAAGCTACACACCTGATTTTTTTAAAGCTGCATTGCTGATTTTTAAGTTGCATAGCTGATTCTTTTTAAGCCGGTACATGACAGCACTTATATGTACTTTTAAGCTGTACAGCTGATTTTTTTAAAGGTAAACCAAATACTGGAGAGTTCTCTGCACAACCGACTTTTCTAACCTTTTTCCCAGGTTTGATTGTTTGAGGCATGAAGCGATCAATCGATTGTGCGCAATCACAGTCACAGGAAGTGCCTTCAACGAATGTTTCTCATGACTCTCATGTAGAGACAGTTCAAAATGAATATAGAAGTCTTTTGATAACGGGTGCCTCAAAATCACATATACCACACCCTAACAAAAACCCAGGCCTAGGCGTCGGTATATTGTGAAAGGACTGAAAAAGAAGGGCAGAGTACCGGAATGATTATGAGTTGTTCTTAGATGATCAAGATAATGTTCGAGCAGAATGTGTTCATTGCGACTCTACTTTTGCTTCTAGATCCACTCGGAACGAGACCAAAAACTTGAAACTACATCATGCTTGTGAAAAAAATCCATTGAATAAAGGCAAAGGTAAGCAATCTACATTCACTTAGAACCTATTGATGGTGAGGAAGGAGATGTGCGTGTAAGAAGTCGAGTGGTTAATTTAGATGATCTTAGAGAATCTTTAACTTATATGATTGTGTTAGATGAGCTGCCTTTTAGATTTGTGGAGAAAACTAGGTTTCGACACCTTATGTCTCTTGCGGTACCAAATGTTCATATCCCCTCCTGTATCACAATTGCAAGAGATTGTTTTAAATTTTACTTGAAAGGGAAGGAGAAACTAAAGGATGTTTCGAAAATGTCTTGTCAAAGAGTTTCTGTCACAACAGACACATGGACATCTAATTAAAATATTAACTATATGTGTCTTACTGCTCATTTCATTGATGATGACTGGAAATTAAAAATAGAATCTTAAAATTTTGCCATATCTATAGTCACAAAGGACATGTTATTGATAGTGTCATTGATGATTATTTGGATTCATGGGGAATAAGTGAGAAGTTGTTTACTGTGACCGTGGATTATGCAAGTTCTAATGATGTGGCATGTGATTTTCTAAAAGCCATGGGAGAACAAAAAGGGTTACATTAATAAAGGGGAAACCATGCATATGAGATGCATTGCTCATATCATTAATTTGATAGTTTGAGATGGTCTAAAAGACTATTCTAAAAGCATTGAAAATGTTCGGTCGATGAGTTGGTTGAGAAAAGTAAAGTTGATTGTAAGTTGTCTGTAACGCCCCAAAACATACCCTAGAATTATTAATGAATTATTAATTAATTAATCAAATTTGTTTTGATTAAAAATAAATTGTTGTTGGGCCTTGGGCCAAAATAAAATATGTTTTGATATCCAATATCATGATTCGGATAAATCTCATAGAGATTAATCCAATATGTTGACTTACTGTGTGACCTTGATTGGGAACCTGAGTACAGACCCAAATCAAGGATAAATTAAGAAATTTATTTATGATATGAACTTTGAAATGATTTATTGAAATAAATCATGAGAATAAATAATATGAATGAAATGTAAGAACCTTTTTGAGTAAAGGTCAATTAAATCAATTTTGACTCTGTCAAAGTCAACCACC